TGTCAGCCGCCCGCTCATCGCCCTCGCACCCGGCCCCACCCCCGCGGCGACAGTCGTGGGCTCGCGCCGCCCTGCCACCTCAGCCACTGTCTCCGCCCCTCGGCCTGCGATTGGCAGAGAAACCTCCCTCTCTTTCATCACCCGCGCGGGGCGGAAGTATAGCGAGAGGTTGGAAAAGACGAGGGCGGGGCTGGCAACCGAACCCCTCTCCCCAACTCTCGCTTCATAGTGGGCGGGGACATAATGGCGCAGGTCCTGCCCTGGGGCGCAGCTTGGGGGCGGGGCTAACAGCCAGGGCGGGGCTAAGGGGCGGTTGTTGCGTGTCTGCTGCGTGTCACCCGCGCGTCAGAGCTCGGGCGGGTGGAGCTGCAGGAGCAGCAGCGTCCCCAGCCGGGCAGTGGTGTCAGGTGTACGTTGATTCTCGTATATGTACCGTAATTTTAACCCTCGTACGTTGAACCGTCAATAATAATAAAAAGTATTCAAAACGTAAGATCATTTTCGAGGCAGCTAATTAATGCAGCATATGCAAAGCCCAAGTCACTCTCAGGAACTCTTAACTGACTTTTTTTTTAAAAGGTTGTAACATTAAAAAAAAAAAAATTATTTCATGTTCCAGGTCAAAACAGTTCCAAATCATATCAATTGAGCAAAACTCAGTCATTCCAAAAAACAAATCAATGGAGCAGGCAGAACTCAATTGTTCCAAACAGCGCATGTGGTGCTACAACCGGCAGGCATCCTCCGTCCCCGGTTCTCACCCTGGGATTCAGATACTCCCAAATCCATTGGTAGACATCCCACGTGCAGGCCCAAGCCTGGAAGGATTTGGATGCCTGGAGAAACTATAAGGAAGCATCCTCCATCCCAGCCTCTTTAGTCCGGGTCTTCAGATGCTTTCTACACTCAGTCTTAGCCCAGTTTGCCGCCAGTATTTTCTTATGAATGCTTGCCTCAAAGAAATACTTAAACTTTGAGGACCCAGTTCTCACTCACCGGTGAGCAATATAAAGTAAAGAATAAGACTCATTTGCATATGTATTTTCATATTCCCCCCCTGCCCCAGCCCCCCACTACATAGTGTATGAGGGGTCCCCAAGCAGCCCCTTGAACTCTGCCAGCCTGCAAGGGAAAAGCCAGTTTCCCACATTTATCTCCTTTAAAGGAGAATCCATTTTTAAAGTTTGTTCATGACCCTTTCATATACTTTTTTGTGACCCACTTTTGGGTCGCAACCCGCAGGTTGAGAAACTCTGATCTATATGTCCCTGGCATCCACCATTCATGGAGTCAGAGATGCCAAGGGAACATCTCCAACCATTCTGTTCAACAGCCACTGATAGATCCATCATCCATGAATGTATCCAGGCCCCTTTTTGAACCTGGCTATGCTCTCTGCTTCCACTACCTCCTGTGGCAGGAATTCCACAAGTTAAAGACATACCTTGCCAAAGAAGCATCTTCCTGGAGCTCTGCACACATTTATAGCATCCTACTATGGACGTGAAAACTGATTCAAAAGGAGGGGCCGAAAAGGTTGGAGAAGCTGGAACCACAAGATTTTTTATCATGGAAAATCCCCTTTTTTGTCATAGACTCACACTTCAGCAGTTATCCTGGCGCGTGTCCAAGAGCCCCATCATTTCACATGCAATCATTGTCTGCCCCGGCTTGCAAACCAGCCATGCTGAAGCTAAGGCTGAAATTCCCCCAGGCCTGAGATAGCTCTGGGGCAGTCAGTGCAAGTATCGCGGCAGTGCAGACATTTTGTTAATAGGGGAAGTTGGATCTTGATATAGCCTTACAATGTGGCAGCCCTTCAACTTGAGCGTTCTGCTGTCATTTACAATAATACATGAGATAACAGCAAGTTCATCTGGGACAAAGATGCATTTAGGTCTAAAATGACTGACATATCTCATAATGAGAAGGGAAGCGTGGCGTTGTCTATTAATGGATGCTTGAGGCACAGTAGGCAACCTAGGAAGAGGTGTGATAAAGTCATCAAGTGCATACAGTTTCCATCAGTAAAACCTGCAAGGAAAACAACCAGATTAAGTAATAAAATGGTGCTTTAGCAAAAATGACAGGGATTCTCTTAAAAATAGCTGACCTGGCATCTGAAAGTACTTAGCTCCAGTAGATATATTCAACCCCAACTCTTTCAGAGGCACTGGGGTATGATACATTTTAATTTCTGTAGTGTAATGAAGCTTACTCCTCCTTTTTCCCCCAGCACTTCTGCCTTCTCTTATCTGGTTGGAGAACTTGAGGAAGTTTGGACGATCTTTGACTCCTATCAAACAACTGCTTACATGCTTGCAGGACAGTGATTCTAAATGATATTCTGCTCTCCAAATGACAGGCTAAACCACAGTTGGCTGAATCCAATAATGGAATCAGAGATCTGTTAGGTTGAGCACAGCAGGACCTAATTTTTAGGGCAGAACATCTGGGGCATAATCCCAAACCCTCAATTAGGTGCCTAGTACCTATGCACTCCACAGGAAGAGCTCTAGGTACTGAAACTCCAGCAGAAGTTCTCAGACTTTTTAGACTCACGACACCCCTTACAAAATACAATCTCTTAGATTCCACTCAGTTTTTGATTAGGGAAAAATAATCCAAACTTGCCTTCTGTGGCAAAGAACCTAGGCTACAACAGGTCTGAATGTGAATTATGTGCAGCTGTTTACAAATCTAGCAGTGCTGATGCTGCACAACACCCTTTAAAGGATTTCAAGAGTCTTTGGTTGAGAATCACTACCCTACATACTGAGCAAGAAGGAACTGCTCCAGAGAGGAAAGCTCTAGAGCTTAAGTACCTGTTTTCACTCAGGATCTGGAGCGTATGAGCTCGTCCTGAAAAATAAGTAATTACATCCCAAACAAGTGGCTTTCCAAAGGCTCACTTTTCTTTTCCACCCACCGTTTATATTGCGAGAGGGGCAGCTCACCTATACCTGCTGAAACTGTGTCACTATGCAGTAAAGAATGTAGGCTTCATGGGGCGAGTGAGAGCGCATGGGCGAGAGTGAGCAAGCATGACTTCATAACCTAGTGAACAGTGCATTTGAGGACAATGCCACGGATCAAAGTTTGAGAGACTCTAATCTAGCATTCCAACTACCTGCCAAAACAAGAGCTCAATAGCTGTTCAGCACGATTTGGCAATACCTCATTTAACTGCTAGATCTAGCCTATGTGAGCCGGGCCAAGTTATAATATAATTACCTTTAAAATTGCTTAAGACCAGCTCTAAATGCATTCTTATTGTCACTGTCTCCAGCTCTTCAGTGATAGTCCCTATGCACCATCTAGTGGCCAAGACATTTTTTATTTTTTGTTAACTTTTTAATGCTAATTTTAGTGACAGGTTCAGACATCCCAGCACCTTGCCCATGTTTTGTCTTCTACACTTTGTCCATCAGCCCTTTGAAGATGAAGTAGCCAGCAATCTAAACCCCTGTTTTACTAGGAACAAGGCCAATAGGAATATCCACATTGATTTTCTTGATTAATTCTTATCAGGAATATGACTAAGTGTTCTTCTGGCAGTGTCATAAGCTAGGTCAATTACTCCATGCTGGACACAAACTGCTGCTGAATGCTAAAGACCATGTGCCCCTTTCTGTCCCTGCCTTTGGACCCTAGGTATTCCTAGTACAAATCTAACATCTGACATTACTTTTGGCACCTGGGTTTCCCACTCGCATTGCTTATGCCCTGTCATTAGACTTAAGCCACCCTTCCCCCCCTGGCCCCCTTCCTACTCCCAGCAGTTCTTGCAAATTCCTCCAATCCCACAGAAGACATGAGCTCTTCTAGTTTACAGTTTCTCTCTTCACGGACATGATAAGTAGAGTACGAGAGAGAGACAAGGCTTTTTATATGGAATTTCTGAACACAACTACTTATCACTTAGAAGTACAGATTGTTCTGAAAACAAAACATCCAACATTGAAGACCCAACATAGACTTTTCCAGTCTGCTCTGTCACAAGACTTCCTGAATAGTTCATGTTGCCATGAACCTTTCCCCTGATGATCTGGTTCCTTCTGGATATTGTCTGGAGTGATTTTATGTTCCTGCTTTGTTAGTAGTGCTACTGGTCCTTGGGAAGAGAGATAAAAAGACAGTAGGAAGGCCAGAACCAGTCTTATGTAGAGTTGGCAGTCAGACGGTACACAGAATATCAGGTTCCCCAACCAATGATAAGATGCTAATTTATCAAATCTTCAATTCTTC